CTCCTGAGCCTCTCTGTGCTGACAAGAGCGTGTTTGCACCCCCGATATTTGYATAAAAATCTTTTATACAAAAGGGGTTTCAGCCCAGCAGCCCAAATCCCAGAGGAAACCTTCACCCCACACCCAAACGGGGCCGGGTGCCGGTGACAATCCGCCCCMCAAAGCATCCCTGCTCCTCCAGGATCAGCTCCAAATCAGTGCTGGGCATTGGAAACCTCCACCCAGCCCCGCAGGGAGAGCAGCGCTGCCCCAGCTCCCGCAGAGCCTTCACCCCGGCCGTTCTGGGGAGCCGGGAGGGTTCAGGGGGTGCAGGAGCCCCCCAAGATCCTTCCCGATCCCCGCTGGTGCTGAGCCCGCTCTGCAGGCTCCTCTCTGGAAGATGGTGGGGTTTGCAGCACGGATCTGCTTTCCCCAGCCCTGTCACACGCCAGGCGGGGTGGGAGCCATGAACTGGTGACAATGCTGGCGACGGAGGCGGCTGGTGGCAGCCTTTGCCTTCTCCTCTTGGCCGCTCGCTCTGGCGCAGGAGGAGCCGGCATCCTCCTCCCGCTCCGCATCCAAAAAAACACCAAATGCCAGCAGAAAGGACGGCAAAACCCGGCGGGGAAAGGAGGGAAGGGAAGGAGAGGGAGGGGGGAGGAAGGAAGAGCAAACCCGGCACCTTTCGCTCTTCTAGAAGCAACAAAAGGCATTCAGGGGAAAAAAAAACAAAACAGCACAGGGCAAACGAGAGCCCGGGGAGATGCGAAAGCCGCGGGTTTTGGGACAGCAGCCAAGGCTGCGGAGCGAGGGCCGGACCGCGGGGATGCCCCGAACCCTCCCAGAGCCGGGGGAGCCGCAGGGGCCGAGCTGACCCCGGGAAAGCAAAGCTGCGAGCACGGCTCGTCCTTGCACACGCGTGTGCACACCCGTGCGGGGCCGCGGCCGCGGGAGGGGATGCTGGGCGCACACGCACGCAGAGCGGCAGAGATTTGTTAAAAATATCGCGATTGTTAGTTAAAAAGAGAGAAGGAATGGGGGGAAAAAAAATGAAAAACAGAGGGAGAGAAAAGGGGGAGGGGAGGGGGAAGGGGGAGGGAGGGCGCATCGCGTCACGGGAGAGATTTCCTTATTGGGACTCCCTAGCCTACATCCTGAGTCCATATATGGGCATTTACGTCACGGCAGCCTCACTGGGGACTCCAGAAATGGCTGCGGCGGAAGGCAGAGCAGCCCCGCTCCCGCTATAAAGGGGGCGGCGGGGAGGCACCGCCGGGTGTCCGCTCGGGCTGCGCCGCCGCCGGTGCCTGCCTGCCCCCCCGCCCCCSGGCCCGGCCCGCAGCACCCCCCGAACTGCCCCAAGCACCCCGGAGCGTCACCTGCAGGGTCCCTGGCACCTGCCCCGAGCCCCCCTCGGATCCATCGGGGCACCCCGAGAACCCCCCGGCTCATCCCCGAGCACCCCTGGCATCGGTGCGGGCACCCCGAGCGTTCCCAGCTCATCCTGGGTTCGCCCCGAGCATCGCCCGGCTCGCCCCGAGCATCCCCGGGCTCGCCTGGAGCATCTCTCTCGGCTCCCCTGAGCATCCAGCGGCTCTCCCCGGGCACTGCCCGGCTCTCCCCGAGCATCCCCGGCTCGTCCCAGCCCGCCCCCCCTGCTCCAGGGAAGATGCTCAACGTTATGGATTTCTCCTGCCCGGATCCGCTTTACTCCAAGTACGAGGAGAGCTGCGAGATGAAAAACGGAGACCTGCAGGGCTTGGGGCAGCCTGAGCAGCAACTTCTGGCCGAGGCCGATTTCCTCGGAGGTAAGGGCGGCCGGGATCCGGGCAGGGATGAGGGACCCCGCTGGGAGTGATCGCTGCATCCCGGAGCCGGGAACCTTCCCGTGCTCTGCCCTCAGCCCCGGGCTGTGAGCTCAACATCCCCCTGCTGGCTCGGGCTGGGGGTCCCGGGGGTCCTGCTGGGGAGGGGGAGGGGAGGGGAGGGTGAATCCCAGGGCTCCCTGAGCGGTTTCGGGGACGGAGACCTCGCAATGACGCAACAGCCTCCCGCTGCTGCCTGCATCCCGCCCCTCCAGCCCTCTGACCRCCGTCTCCTCTGCTTCCAGGTGAGCTGCTGGGCGCCCCCGGGAGCAGCGGGGCCGTGGATTATTCCCTGCTGGGCAGCCAGCCCTCCCCCTCCCTCAGCTACACCGGCAGCTTCTTCATCAAGGCGGTCCCGGAGCATCCCCAGGACCAGGAATCCCTCTTCAACCTGATGTCGGGGATCCTGGGCATCTCCCCCTTCGCCTCCTCCGAGGGCCACCAGAGGCACCTGGATGCTCTTTACCCCTGTCCCGAGGTGGCTCCGAGCCAGCTGGACCTTTTCTCGTCGTGCCAGCCCGAGCTGAGCGGATCCAGCCCGGCGCCTCCGTTCCCGGAGCAGAGCTACGGCTCCTTCCCCGCGGCCGAGGGGGCTCAGCCCCTGCAGGCACAGCCCGCCCTGAGCGGCGCCTCGCAGTGCTTCTTCCAGCCCAAGCTCCTGGACAGCAAGCAGGACATCAAGCTGTCCCCGGGCTCCGCAGCCCTGGACAAGTTCAAAGGCTCCTGTGCGCAGTGGGAGCCGCTGTCCCAGCAGCACCAGGCCTACCTGCCCGCCKCCTTCCACTCTCCCGAGGGTTTCGCGGCCGCCGAGAGCGGCCAGGGGCTGTTCCACCCGCTGGGCTCCAAGATGGAGAGCGTCCTGTCCGTCAGCTGCCAGTCGGAGCTCGGCAGCCTGGCGGAGGATGCCGCCTGCTTCGGAACCCATCTGGGCTTCGGCTGCGAGCCAGAAAACTTCCCAGCCCGCGGGGACTTCGCCGACACCAAGATCCACAACGTCCCCGCGCCGTTAATGCCGGACTTCGACGCCTCCTTGGCCCAGGCCGAGGTGCTGCCGGCTCTGATGAGCTCCTCCGAGCTGCTCCATCCTCACCCCTCTCCTTCCGTGCCCCCCTCGGATTTCCTGGGCCACCCCACGTCCTCATCGCTGCCMTCGCTGCTGCCCGCCACCCCTCCGGCGCTGGCCGAGCCCAAGAAGAAGACACGGCGGAGCAAATGCTCGTCCAAATGCTTCTGCCCCAAGCCGCACGAGAAGGCGTTCGCCTGCCCGGTGGAGAACTGCATCCGCAGCTTCGCGCGTTCCGACGAGCTCAACCGGCACCTGCGCATCCACACGGGCCACAAACCCTTCCAGTGCCGCATCTGCCTGCGCAACTTCAGCCGCAGCGACCACCTCACCACGCACATCCGCACCCACACGGGCGAGAAACCCTTCTCCTGCGACACGTGCGGCCGCCGCTTCGCCCGCAGCGACGAGAAGAAGCGCCACAGCAAGGTGCACCTCAAGCAGAAAGCGCGCACCGAGGAGAAGCTCAAAGGCCTGGGTTTCTTCTCGGTGGGGCTCTCCTTCGGGACACTCTGAGCTCCCAGCCGAGCGCTGGCAGGCGGCGTTYCGAGGTGCCCCGAGAGTCTCATGGAGAGCCGGGGTGGCGATTCCCTCCCGGTGGCCCCGGAGGAGAGGAGAGAGGGGCCGGAGGGGCCGGAGAGCCCGCGGGAGGGAGGCGAGGCGGTGCCGCGGGGCCGGAGCGCTCCCGGTCCCGATGGATGCGACAGCCCGGAGCCCGCTCCGAACCGCCGGGACTGAGCCTTTCTGCAGCTCCCGTGCCGAGGAGGGCATGGAAAATCCGTGTACAGACACCAAGCACCGCCSAGGTGGGTTTTTGGACACTCTGCTGTGGTTTCCCAAGCCGGGTCTTTGCRGGATGTTCCTGACTGTCGGGGCTGCGGCTGCTCCGGTGCTTTCTCCCCACGGAGACAAACACCACGGTGCTAACAGGCCCGGGGGAAAGGTGATTTCAAATCTGCTACTACTGCCATTATTACTATTATTATTATTATTATTATTATTATTATTATTATTATTATTATTATTATTTCGATGATTATTATTATTATTCTATTTGTAAAAAGAAAAAGTCTCTATCAGGAATATTTGAAATTTGTGTCTATTTTTCTAATTAAAGATCCGAGCTGATCCAAGGCCTTGCTGAGGTTGCTCTTTGCCTTTCCATCCCATATTTCCATTGGTTTTATTTTTTTACCTCTGCTGCTGCATTTTGGGGGAAAAAAAACAGAGCTTCCATAATTAGCAGGGAGAAAAAGAATCCATCATTGCAGCGGGGTGGTTGGTGACAGCTCCTGAGCATCCCCAAACCCCAGGTGGGGGCTCATCCCAGGAGAAGGGTTTAGTTTTGGGGCAGAGCAGGGATCTCTGCTCCTCACTGCTGGGTCTCCCTCCAAACACAGGACCTGTGTTTGGGGTTTGTTCCATTGGGGCTGAGTCCTGGGCAGTCCTCTGCCCCAAAAGCCAGCCCAGAGCCCCCAGCCCGGCTCCTGTCCCCCATGGGATGTGGATGGATGTCCCACACGCCCTCGGCTGCACCCACAGGAAATGGGATGAGAGACATCCCCATTCCCCATTCCCCATTCCCCATTCCCCATTCCCCATTCCCCATTCCCCATTCCCCATTCCCTATGGGATGAAAGACACCCCCATTCCCCATTTCCAGCCTGGCTCAGCCTGGGGCTGGGAAGATCCAGGCAGCACCAGGCCCGATGGGGAGCCCTGAACAACGGGGGGCTGTTTGCTCCCTCTTTTTTGTGATTTTAAATGGTGCAGAGATGCTGGCTCCCCTCTCCCAGGATGGCACAGGAGACGATGCTGCAGCCACGAATGTGCCTCCTGTGGAAGAGCCTCCCTCCTCTGGTGGTTAAAAATCAGTTCAAATCATGAAAAAATCCCCAAATCTCGTCCTTCCAGTGGGAGATGCTCAGATGGGGTGTGCCGAGCTTTGGTCTCCATCAATCAGGAGAAGGTGATGGGAATGGAGGGAGCGGGGCCAGGGCCATTGTCATCGATGGTCCTTTCCTGGGAGAGGGGACAAAATGAGGCAGGAAACGGCCATGGCTGCAAACTGATCCTTCTGATNCCCAGGTGGGGGCTCATCCCAGGAGAAGGGTTTAGTTTTGGGGCAGAGCAGGGATCTCTGCTCCTCACTGCTGGGTCTCCCTCCAAACACAGGACTTGGTTTGGGGTTTATTCCATTGGGGCTGAGTCCTGGGCAGTCCTCTGCCCCAAAAGCCAGCCCAGAGCCCCCAGCCCGGCTCCTGTCCCCCATGGGATGTGGATGGATGTCCCACACGCCCTCGGCTGCACCCACAGGAAATGGGATGAGAGACATCCCCATTCCCCATTCCCCATTCCCCATTCCCCATTCCCCATTCCCCATTCCCCATTCCCCATTCCCTATGGGATGAAAGACACCCCCATTCCCCATTTCCAGCCTGGCTCAGCCTGGGGCTGGGAAGATCCAGGCAGCACCAGGCCCGATGGGGAGCCCTGAACAACGGGGGGCTGTTTGCTCCCTCTTTTTTGTGATTTTAAATGGTGCAGAGATGCTGGCTCCCCTCTCCCAGGATGGCACAGGAGACGATGCTGCAGCCACGAATGTGCCTCCTGTGGAAGAGCCTCCCTCCTCTGGTGGTTAAAAATCAGTTCAAATCATGAAAAAATCCCCAAATCTCGTCCTTCCAGTGGGAGATGCTCAGATGGGGTGTGCCGAGCTTTGGTCTCCATCAATCAGGAGAAGGTGATGGGAATGGAGGGAGCGGGGCCAGGGCCATTGTCATCGATGGTCCTTTCCTGGGAGAGGGGACAAAATGAGGCAGGAAACGGCCATGGCTGCAAACTGATCCTTCTGATGGATTCCTTTTCTGATGGATCCCCTTTCTGATGTATCTCCTTTTCTGATTTATCCCCTTTTGTGATGGATCCCCTTTCTGATGGATCCCTTTTCTGATGGATCCCCTTTTGTGATGGATCCCCTTTTCTGATGGATCCCTTTTCTGATGGATTTTGTTCCCTCCAGCAGCCCTGGAGAGGGGGATCAGCCCCACTGCCATGTTATGAAGGATGGAGGGGTGTCCCTGTCTTATTCCCTCAGGCCCTTCAACCCTTTGTCAGCATGGACTGGAGCATTCCAGGGCTAAACACCAGGAATCCCAGCAAAATCCAGTATCCCAGTATTCCAGCAAAATCCAGTATCCCAGTATCCCCAGCAAAAACCAGTGTCCCAGTAATGCCAGCAAAATACAGTGTCCCAGTAATCCCAGTAAAATCCAGTGTCTCAATATCCCAGTAAAATCCAGTATCCCAGTAATCCCAGCAAATTGCAGTGTCCCAATTATCCCAGCAAAATCCAGTGTCCCAGTAATCCCAGCAAAATCCAGTGTCCCAGGAATCCCAGTAAAATCCAGTGCCCAGTAATCCCAGTAAAATCCAGTATCCCAGTAATCCCAGTAAAATCCAGTGCCCAGTAACCCCAGCAAAATCTGAGCTTGCCATGGGATGTGCAGTCCCTGTGGGTTTGGGATGAGGAGCTGGGCAGGGGATGGGGGATGATGGTGGAGATGGGATGTGGGAAGGGGCCAGGAGAAATCCTAAATTTCCCGTCAGACCTGTCCCTAATACCTCACYCCTGATACACCCAGGGGTGCTCGTGACCCTCAGGTGATCCATCCCAGTGTGTGGGAACCCAATCCTGAGCCAGAACCACTCCAAGGGGTGCAGATGACCCCAAACACCAGGAAAAACCTTTTKGGGGGACACCCCAGATATGGTCAATGAGGACCTCGGGTTCTCTCTGGGAAGGGGCTGGGTTGGGGTCCCTCTTTGGGGGATGTCAGAGCTGAGCTCACCCCGTACCGCTGGCCATGAATGATGCACGAGGCCTTGATTAAAACCCYGCTGGAAGTCGTCAATAATTGATGCTGAGCCTGGAAGCTCTGCGGAGGCACCGCTCCAGCCTTGGCCCTCTGCTCCTCCGGCCAGAGAGGAGGGAGGGAGGGATGGGACACACCCCACAGGTACCCACAGCCACCCCACAATCACCCCACAGACACCCCACAATCACCCCACAATCACCCCACAGACACCCCACAATCACCCCACAATCACCCCACAGCCACCCCACAATCACCCCACAGCCACCCCATAGCCACCCCACAATCACCCCACAGCCATCCCACAGTGATCCCAAAGCCACCCCACAGCCATTCCACAGCCCCCCACAATCACCCCACATACACCCCACAGTCCCCCCAGAGCCACCCCACAGTGATCCCAAAGCCACCCCACAATCACCCCACAGTGACCCACAGCACCCCACAGCCATTCCACAGCCACCTCACAGCCACCCCA